CTTCGCGCTGGTCGCTACGTTCTACCTCACGACTAGGGAGCGCGGTATCATTTCGGACACTGATACGCGACTTGTTGATGAGATCAACAAGATTAAGGAGCAAGCGGAAGGCGATGGAGTAAAAGGGAAGATGGGCAAGATGGTGCCTTAATTAGTTAGTGATGAGGATGAGGTGCTATGGGTAGTGGTAAGAAATCGAGCGTCTACGGGTTCGGAACAGCCTCTTTCCTACCTTGATCCCCAGTGAATCCATATCACACTTTGGATCTTGATGGCGGCTGGATACGCTTGCCCGCGGCTATATATATTCTGAGTCATTCACCTTTTCAGTTAATATGAGAGAAAACAAACGATGGATTAGGGAATTCATTCGTGATAACTTAAAAGATCAGCTGGTAAATTATTCGTGTGGTATAAAATGGGAGAGCATTGCGAAGACTTAGCAAAGAGCGAGGACGGTATCCTTGTATCTAGTAGGACTGGGCTTCCACACGATGGATTAGGTACATTGCCAACAATTTAGCGTAATCTGCATAACTGGATAAGCCTTTGAGTAAGCGCATTCCCAAAAGCCTCACGGTCGTTTTCTACAAGCTAAAATAGCACAAAGACCATTTAGCTGCCACAAGGAATGGAGCTAACAGCAGATGCAGCCAATACCAGTAGCTTATGAAATGTGTGTTATAAGGCACAGTAAGGACGCCGAGAATCACCACCAGAAAACAGACAAGTTTCTGAAAGTCCGGTATAGTGTAACGGCTAACATACCTCGTTTTCACCGAGGAGCTCGGGGTTCGATTCCCCGTACCGGAGCTGCCTTTTTCCTTGTAAGGATCCTTTTTTTATTTACTTTTTTGCTTTTCGGTTATGTTCGTTATTGTTGCATCACCTCTAATTATCTGTTACTGATAAGCTCAAGGGACCAACGAGGTTGGCCTCTCAGTTTCAATTTTCAAGATATTGTCCGATTCACTTATTTCATTAGGAAGACGTGTTAGATTCATATGCAATGCGTCTCCATAGGGACAGATGCTCTCAAAACCATATTAATGCTCGTTTCACATCCATCGATCCTCAATGGAAACTTCCCCAGGGATTTTTATTTAGTAGCAAATCCTTCTGTTCTCTGCTACCTAAAATTCATCACTCCACGGGATAATTATCCCTCATCCCATTCTCCTCATCCATTCCCCGTACTCCATCACTGTTGACATGTCCCAACATGCAACCCCTCCGGCGAAGTCATCTCCGGCTCCAGAACAGGCGAAGAAGTTCGAGAATCCCTTACCATTGTCAGCCATGAAAGATTGCCAAGTAACCTCGTCTATGGCTTGGGAATCTGGTCGAAAACGACCTCGCGACGGGTCCTGCATTTTCATGCAGTGTTCGGCAACCCCAATGAGGCAGTGTCGTTTTACCTCAGCATCATTATTGGATAACGCTTCGTGGAGCTCTTCGTACATGCCATTAATCCTTAAACATGGATTTCCATAGCGAGCCCAATGGAACAGTTCATCCAGGCCAACACAATAAGCCAGAGCCGCCGGGATAGGGTCTCGCCTCACGTCGTTATTGGCATTTAAATGATTGGGGAGACCGTAGTCACAGGCAACGCAGAGACGACATCTGCGGGAGTGCTGCTCGTTGACGGCTATCGACACCGATTAGTGCACCACAGTATAACCTGGTTGGGGGAAAAAAGGGGCGGGCGCTTACCATAATGGAGAACCTCAAAGAACTGAAAACCAACATGCACAACTTGGCCGAGCTCACAAGCAGAGAACATAAACCAATACTTCTCTTCCCACTCTTCGAGCGGGGCGCGCCAGAAGAAATCGAAGTCCTGCCCGTCCCCCGGCATCTTGTGGAAGAGGTTGACCGCTGTTTCAACCATGAACATGGTGTTTATCTGACGTGTGTATTCATTTTCGTTCATGTCGCCGTATGGTATCCAGGTATTGAAGGCATACTCCGTTAGAAGATCAGCGTATGATTGCAACAATGGAAGGGTATTGGCGATGTTCATGGTGAAGTAGCTTGCCGGCCACTTCTCGGTCTCCAAATACTTCCGGAAAAATCCTTCCACTGAGCTCTGGTCGGTCGGATCAACCTCGCGAGAAGCAACAGCCATCACGGCGAACTTGTAGTCCTGGGGTCCAAGGATTCGAAGGATATGTGCCTTGGCGATGGTATTAACGTGCTCCTCGAAAATTCCCTTGGCCTTCTTGCAGGTGCTGAGTGTGGCCTTGACATCGCCAAGGTCACTCATGTGGCCGTAGATCTTGACAATGATCTCGGGGTATAGGCGTTGGAAGAGGTCAACTTGCGCCATTGCTACTCCTTGATTGTTGATACCGTCCGGTGATGGTACTAGCATGGGGGCGTTAGCTGTCAGTTGACGAGCACTGGGGATCAGGTATCTCCGATGAGGAGAATATTGAAAGCGATATCAGGACCTTACCTTGTAAGCCTTGTGTATGTCGTTGAGATAAGGAGCGTGGTACTGAAACTAAGGGGCCACGAGGTGAATACCACTAAGGGTAATAGAAGGAACAACAGTATGGCTACGATGACAACAAAGACGACTAAGGGGCTAATGACTATAACACCTAGGTCAACGAACGACAATGCAGGTTGTTGGTGATGAAGGGTCGACGTTGATGATTGACAGTGAGAGTGAATGGGGAAGTTTGCGCCGATGAAAGGCGGGATAGAAGTACATATGTGGGCAAAAGTCGAAATAAGGCGGGTCTATTTGTATATATATATAGGAAGGTACGGGGGTCACTACGAGCTCTTGCCGCCTAAGGTACTGGACATTGGCCCCTTTGGTCGGTGTGCACCGAGCAGGATAACGATCAAGCACCATTTTCCTCCGTGCAGCTGTGCTTTACCAAGTGCCGTCAGGGTACTGTGTACCATATGAATTTTCCACAGTCACTTTCTTCTAATGCACACCTGCATGTCCTCTGTGTTGAGATAAAATACAGAGCCTCATGTGACCCATCAAGATAGGACAAATATCTACGTAAAAGGGGGTAATTGGGAGAGATTATATGCCCCGCGTGAAAGAGACATTCATTCAAGTACTCATGACAAGAATCCATGACAAGAGTCAAGTTATACAAGCAGCTGTGATTGTTGGATTCCCCTTCAAATCCTTTTACTAAGCAAGATAACATCAATAAAGCCCACCCAGGAAATAATATCTATCACTCATTATAAGTTCAATAGAGCATTTATACATTTCTATACAAGAGTTACGAATTATCTAGGTAGTCTTTAATCTTACACTGCCCGAGTAAGCAGTATTCTTCCTTGGACCCCTTGTTACAATTTTAACTAGTGATAAGACGTATTGTCTTCTTGCAAACAAAGTGGCTAAATGAGAGCTATGACAGATAACAATAGATCATAGCAATACAAAGACCAGAAGGCTTTGTATTGTAAAAGCCACCCAAGCATGAAGAATAATATATAAATCTAGCAAACCAGGACTCGCTTCACGACCTATCTCTAAGCAAGCATCTCTCCCTCTATCTCGATTACCTGCTCAGCAACTATCCTTCCTAGAGCTTTCGCTAGCCGAAATAGCACACAATTAATAGCACACAATAGCACACAATTATTTATTGAACTCCTAGGTGTTCTCATCCACTATGGTCTTTATAAAGTCTAAGAAGGAGCGGGCTCCGTCCCCAAGTTCCACCCGTGCTTCTCCATCAACGGAAGCAAGGAGCGTTGAGCGCTCCGAAGCAGAAAGTAAGTTCAAACCCCATGATGAATCCTCGAGCAATGAAACCCCTGCTAAGAAACTAGCCCTCACAGGCGAGCACCGTACCCCTTTCAGCGAGCGCATGAGTGCTATGCGCCAAAGAGCAAGCCGGGGGCCCGACGAACGTCAGAAGAAGGCCAGCTTGGAAGAAACAATCAACGCTATGACAGAAAGCCTGAAGGCAATCGAGAGACGCACCCTACGAATCCCAGCTTCGACTCCGGCTCCTCCCCCCACCCCATCGTATCTCGGAGTACCTGAGACCTGCCCCGGTGCGCCTGTCAAGAAGAAGAAGACGTTCGATGTACGGCGCTTTTCCCGGGGAAGCGCCATCGATTCGGATTCGGACGAAGACTATCTCTTTGATCGCTGGGCGAACAAGACAGAGCACGTCCTCCGCAAGAAGAAGTCCACGGACTGGGCGAATGAGAGGCGTCGCGACGGGATTACGACTCCCGACACGCCTTCGCCGCTGCGGTGTAGCTTTAATGCCGACCAGGCGGACAAGATTACCGCTCAGCTTGAGGCGATAGCGAGGAAGCTTGACGAGGAGATTAACGACCCCGAAGGTTATCGAAAGAGCGGCGGCAGAAGCGGAAGTCGGAATTAGATGTAAGCATAACAGGAGGGCTATGTTTGTGTATCTGATTTCTTATTAATCTCGAGTTTGTTCCGATTAACTTATACACGGCTTTGACGGTCGCTTGATTTCCTTTGTCAGCAATATTTACCTTTGTCGGGGTGGAAATTTTCCCATTCGCTACCTAGGTATAAGGTTTCCCTCTGTTTACGAAACACAAATAATTAGCTAGTATGCTTGATACGCAGAACTAATGGGCCTGCGCAAGAAGGCCATCTAGAAATTACAGATTAGATATTTAGGAGATTTGAATATACCTACATACAGCTTACACGAACAACTAGATCTAGAAGCTCATATGAAACTGAGCTGTCTTTCTTTGAATAGGGTGTTTTCAGTAGTTAAAAAACATCCTTCATAAGGATCCGCTAATATTGTGAGCGTATATACAATGAATCTTTTAAACGCTTTTATGTATATCTTCTAGAGTCGATGTCTTTGGTGGTGATGGTAATTGTTAATTGTGGGGCCGAGTAGTGTGGCAAGCGCGACCGCCGGCGTTTTGCCGTACTTGCATTATAAGGCACAATATTTGCGCCTTCCTTCCAATAGGTTCTCCCTCGCTCTAGAGCCCACTCTGGAGTACCCTTGGTGGTGTAGTTGGTTATCGCGTTCGGCTGTAATTGGTGTATCTACCCTTCTGGGTGGTTGCTTGCTACCGAAATGTCGCCGGTTCGATTCCGGCCCGAGGGATCATTTACTCTTTTTGAATCCGAATAACAATAATTCGGATGTTTCTTTTTTTTGTCTCAGGTATTTTCGCCTTAATTTTTTCTCTTTTTTTGTTTGGTAAAATGCAGGAATGGGGTGGGTACCAGATTGTACCTAGGTACCCATATGTGGTCCAATGTTGACAAAGAGGTACATGTTATTTAGTATTTGACATTTTGGAACGCTTTACTTTCTATTCCACTACATATGTATTTAAACTTAAACGTGATAGAGTCTAGTTTGTATTAGTCTTACCTTGGTGTAGCGAAAGAGACATGCATTTACGACGGTATTGGCTAAGCTAGAGAATCATCATCTTGCACTACGAATACTACGACATCTACTGTCTTCCTCTTGCTAGAATAAGGTCACCTACGACAGAGGGCGCATCTTACCATGCGATAAGGGACTAATAGATAAGTAAAGGGGCGAGGTCATGTAGAGTCAAATCAAGTCAGGAACAGGAGGGGATATGACTTCATATCACAGGTTGAAAGGGCCGAGTTGCTTGAACATGGACCTCTTCACACCACGACGAGTAGAACACTTCAAAATGGTGTCAGCGCTGAATTACTAACTAATTATAAGTGTACAAAAGGGATAAGCACCTTTAAATGCATGCAATCTGCGCATCACGCAAGTCGAACACCGGCCTCCTTCCTCTTCTTCGTTTGCTGAGCGGTCGCAGAGCTCATACCGACGTTCTGACTGGCGTCCAGCATGCTCTGTGCCTCACGTCGCTTCTCGTCCTCGATCTTCTTGAGGCGTTTGTCGGTCTTGCCCTTTCCGCTTCCCTTGCCGTGGAACTGGTGACTGAGGTGCTTGAACGCCTCCTTCTGGTCGAGCGAGCGGCCGTACTCATCATGGTATTTTAGTTCCACGTTGGGCTTGTAATTCTTATTGAAGAGATCGACTAGCTGCCGCGATGTCTGCTGATCGCGTATGTTGTTCTGCTGTCGGGCCCACTCTTCCCTTTCTCGGACTGACATCCTGTCTAGCCTGCCGCTGTTGCGGTCCCGTTCGCGCTGCTCACGAGCTTGCTGCTCGATCTCGGCCAGCTTGCGTTTCTTCTCAGCGAGGAATAGTTGATGCTGACGTTGTAATTCGTTGAGTTCAGCAGCTCCTGAATCTTTTAGGAGTTGACGTTCTCTTAGAAGTTGTAGAGTCGCGCCGACGCCGGAAGCGACAGTCTTCTCTTCGTCGACACCGATGATGGCTGCCTCTGATACAGACTCTTCGCGCTTGAATCTATCATGCTCGTGGTCATCTCCATCCTTCATAGGCTCATCCTCATCTGACTCTTCCTGCATGGCTGTGACTGGCGCTTCTTTAGGCGACTTCGGTTTGCGAGGTCTACGTTCTTCGATATCTTCCTTCTTCAAACTTGAAACAAATTCAGTAATCTCGTCTACAACGAGACCAACCTTTTCGCCCTCGCCCTCTTCGACTTCGGGTGTCTGCGCCTCCTGCCGTAACTGTCGCGCTATATCTTCGGGACGTGTCCTCTTTCGCTTCTTTAAGGCCTCTCTTCTTTGTGCAGCCAAAGTAGCTTGTAGATCTTCGTCGTCGGCTAATGTCGTTTCATCGATCTTGCGTTTCTTGCTGACAAAACCAGCGCCTGAATCTATGTCCATAGACTGATCCGGCTCCGGTGGCGGTAGAGGGAAGATGTCATCTTCATCCACTGGCCGATGTCTTGTTGGCTTCGATTTCTTCTTTTTAGGCTTCTTGATTTTGACTTCCGATATGTCTAGATAATCCGAAGCTGGCTTATCATCATTCAGGATATCAAGGCTGATCTTTTGTCGTTGCTGGTTCTGCGGCTGGCCCTCTAAATCCTCGATCGTGTTTCCAAATCCGTCTAGCGTGAATTTCTTGCTCTTCTTGCCGCCAATTTCCTCGTCGTATTGAGCGAGGAGGCTGCGCTCGCCGGTCTCGTCAATCGCGTGAGGATCATATACGGGTTTCTTTTTTTTCAGCTCGAGCTTTTTGCTGAGTTTCTCTTGTTCTCGGAGGTTGATGTTTTCGAGTTCGTCGCCTTCGTCATCTTCCCCTAAAACATTGGTGTCTTTGAGGGTTAAGATCTGTTCTTCTCCATCTTCAAAGGCCCCAATCTCGTGTCCGACTTTGACGCCCGCGAGATCCTTCGACGTGTATTGAATTGCTGCGGCGGCCTCGGCTTCAGCCGCAGCTAATTCCTCTTCTAACTTGCGTGCCTTCTCAATTGCTTTTTGGCGCTTCTTCTGACTGATTAACCATGCCTTGGTATCGATGTCGGCCTCATCGTCAGCCTCGCCTAGACTTTTGCCTTGTAGCGTCTCGAAGCGTTTCGCAGCATCGCGAGCTTTCTTGACGGCGGCAGCCTTTTCTTCGCGCCTCTTTTTTGCTGCTTCGGCATCTTGGATCTTCTTGTAGTTGTCATAGGCGGCGGCTTCTCGAGATTCGAGTGTGCTCCCAGCGTCTTCCCCGGAGGTCGACGACTTTTCCTTGAACTGAGGACCGCTTGCGCCGGGTACAGGCAAAGGCTTCATGCCGAGGGAAACGCGGAGACGGTTCGTCTCCTCTATCGCTGCGGCATCCATGATGGATCTTTGTGATGGCAAACCCCAAAAACTATTATTATGCGACAGCCGATGATCCGGTTAAATGTAATCGCCTGGGTTGTTTGAGGCGATGTTGTTTGCGGCTTTCAACAACATTGAAGTTGGACAAGGTCGAAGATTTACAAAGTACCAAAAGGTGCACAGTACCTACCGTACATACAGGGTGACTAAGAAACTTGGTACAAGGAAAGATGGGGCGAGGGCTGGTCTGTGCAATCTTGATCGGGACCCACTTTTGCATTTTCGCTTCCTCATAAATTTCAAAAATTTGCTGCTTCAATTTCTCTTTTCCTTTCTTCTACACAATCACGGATCTGTGTCCGATCGTCCTCTGTTCGCCCAGCGAATTCAGAGTTGATGGTCGCGGCAGCTCGAATCACCTATGGAACCATCTTATTCATGATGTCAATCTAATCGACAGGTCCAAGATTAAGGAGCAGTCTGGAAAGCCTGAGCTCGCCGTCAAAAGCTGAGCTCGGTGGACCAGGCTTGCTGCAGGTCTTATATTCCACCCCTTTTTTCCGAGATCATTGATCTATGAGGTTGAGGAAAACCATAAGAGCTCCTACATATCATTACTGTACTGATCACATTGTTACTGATGTTATATTGTATATAATTATGTTTTCGCATCTGTCGCATCTGAACGAATTGCATCACGGCCTATATCACGCCTGGTAGCTATATTACAACTCGATAAATTAGCGCTGTATCATATAGCCCGTCCACAGAGCGAGCGGTTCTATTCCGGCTGTCTTAGAACGTACCTATACCCTCTTAATCGTAGTAACGACGTGGTAGAGCAATATTTGAGAAAAGATTATCTAGCCAGCATCACTTCGGCCAGTTCACGGCCAAGCTAGTCGTGGGAGATATGCCAATGTTGTTGATACTCCGAGTATGTTCGCGGTTCTGCCAGCAGGACAAGACAAGCTAAGAAGGTTCATACCCTTGATACCTTTTGACAAACTGTCGACCCGGGTCCGTTATTAGTCTAGCTGGTGAAGTGGATACTAAAGGTCGTCCGAGTTTGGGTTGCATTCACTCTAAAAGTATCGTCGAGACCTTGGATAATGAGGTCCTCAGATCTCGTCCTAAGATCGCCAAGTCTTAGCACGGCCTGTTCCTTGACGATACATGGGTCAGGAGCCAAAGAACAGGATCAGCCGTGTAGCTGACGTATATCGCGGGCCGATATGGAATGACACAATGCGCATAAGCAAGTGAGAATGCCTAGGTATTCCCGTCTGCAGCTCCAGGAGAGCCGTATACATTTACGAGCATTTGGAGGGAACATTCTGTTGCATTACTGAATACCCCCATAATGCAGTCTACTGCACTCCACTCTGGGGTATGAGTAGGTCCGAATGAATTCCGGATTGCTAGTAGCATCTACTGGCCTTGCTCAGTCTCAATACCGCCGTACTACTTGAGGACTGTGTTACGAGAATTGCTGAACATCAACAACTCAACGAAAGAGACCCATGAATCGTACGAGTTCTACTTCAAAGAGTAAGAGTATCTAGGTAAGTATTGGATATATGCAAGGGTTTAACATACCCATATTTGTATTGGTTATTACCTATGACACTGGGCTCCGAGGTTTTAGTTGGCATCAACCGGAAGACGTCCGAGCATATGAAAGTGGAACTCATTCACGACCGCTCAGGTGCTCCTCCAGCCTGCCAGCTACTCCAACTTCTAATAATGCGGGGACGATATCCCCCGCACTGGGGAAAGGGAATGGTATAAGGTTAGGCTTCTTCATGCTTGTTCTAATCCAGCCTCATAATCCGTCTTTGTTATTGTCCAACTTAACCTGGCAGACCTAGTCCTTCAGGGGTTAATTGCCGAATCTGTCCATCCCCTGTGCACGCCACTCGCAGTTCCCGGAAACCTCCCTGAGAGCGGCCCGATTCTAGATTCCCAGGAAGTCACTTAGTTGGCTATTGTTGACCATAGAGCTCTCTAACTAGACATTTTCAGCGCATATCTCATTTAATTACCAGGCGGAGTTTGCTTTCACAGCGTAGCATTGGCCCCGTTAAACGCCGCCAGGTCCTCTTAGCTGGCCACGATCTTTTGACCGAGAACTACCGCCGTAGTAGGCTCTGAGATTCGGTCCTACCCGTGGTTTTGGTGTAGTATCCGGTCAGGTGTCCAAAAAAGGGATAGAGCTTTGTCACGATGTGCCTGGAAAGCTTCGCATACAAGAGTATATATGAGTGAAGGAAGATGGACGTCTTACAGCACACAAGTTCGAGCTTCCTCGCAAGCAACAGCAGCTCACTTATCCAGCCCATCATGCAAGGCTTCGCTTCTCTGTTCTTGCTAGGCGGTCTCGCCTTTCAGACCATCCTCGGCTTCCCCAGTGCTTCT